GGTTCTTCAGGAGCTCTGGAATGAAGCTTGACAGAGACAAAATAATTCCCTTGAGTGAGCAATTTTCTTGCCAGTTTGCAGAATAAGAGCTCAGGGTGACAGACAGTGGGGGTGGGCTGGGGAGGGGGCTAGCCATGGCGGCATCTGCTTAGGGCCCTTCCCGTGCCCACTCCCTACTCCCCTGGAGCTGGGTTTTTTAGAGAAGTGAGCACCATAATCAAGGGCTCTCAAAGTAACTGTGGACTCGAGGTGGGAAGGAGGGCACAGTAGGGTGGGCCCATGGCAGGCTCCATGGCTCCTTTTCTCATAGAACAGAAGGAAAAGGAAGAGGAAGAAATCGCTGCTACTTAACCAAGTTTTAACCAAAAAGGACGCTATACCTATGGGCTACCTCACAAGACTGTTGTTTCTGCTGAGACAAAATATTTAAAATGCATTTTAAAAATTGTTAACCATAAAACATTAGTTATTATGTTGCTATTCTCCCAGATAGTCAAGAATAATGGGGGAAATCAATTCAGGTATAAAATCGAAGCTGTGCAAAGATAACTTGAAGGTGTCTTTTTCTTTAATTTTTTTGAAAGCATCTTTTTATGGAGCATGACTTTCCAGAGCACGACTGTGCCTTTGCCATGAAGTCCCTGCAGCCTGGGAGAGTTAGGAATATAGTCCAGGGGCTGGGTGAGGACTCCGTGGGGCTTGCCCAGTGTGTGGGAGCTTCTAGGTCTAATTCCCAGTACCACAGTGAAACTCAGTGCAGAGGATTTTCTGAGCGTGCCTGCTGGACACCAAGCCTGTCTGAAACTCTCTGCTGGTTGGTTATCTTTGTTGCTGTTTTGGATGCTTTTTCTTAATTGTTAGTTTCCTTGTTTGTTTGTTTGTTTTCATTCTAATATTTTTTTTGGAAAGCCTTGACTCAGAAGACTGAGTGTAAGAAAAAGAACGAGAGGGAGTGAGGAAAAGAGGAAAGGGTGACTCACTCTTGGGAAATCATGATTCTAAAAGGCTTCATGACACCATACCAGAAAGAAACACTGAGTACAAAGCTTTGACAAGCTGCATGTAAAGCAATCATTCATTCCTCCAGTAAGGAATTCTTACAGAGGATTCCTATTCTGTGCTAAAAGAAATTAGCAGAGGACACTGGAAGCCAATAGGCTCAACCTGCCTCAGATGGGTTCTGTTTGCTCCTCCTCATCACTAACAGTGATTACAAACTTGTGAAGTTCATTTTTAATGTTTTGAAAATCAAGAGATTTCACTTTTCCTATGAAGAAATCGGATCATGTTGTCACTCTGGGTCTCAGTGCCAGGGACAATCTTGCTGACTTAAGGAGGGCCATCCCTCCAGACCAGGCTTGTGCCCTCCAGTCATCATGTCAGGGTTTGTACCCCTGCAGCCCTACTTACTACTCTGGCCCCGGACCCCTGCTCCAGCACATAGGGACAGCAGAGCGCTGTGGTCAGGAGGATACAGTCAGAGGACAGGCTCTGGAGGCAGCCTGCCTGGCTGGGGCCAAACCCTGGCTCTCATGAACCAATTACATGAGCTCTTTAAGCTTCTGTTTCCTCTCTTATAAAATGAGAAAAATAATAACTCCAACTTTCTTGGACTGCAAGGATTCAGTGAGCTACTGCGTATTAAGTCTTTAGCACTTGCCCAGCAACTGCACAATAAATGCTAAGGTTTCCTACTGTACGCCAATGCTATAATCACCAGCAGGAGTTTATCCGCCATGTAGCTCCTTAAGACGATTTAACCACACAGAGCAATCGTTCTTCAGCTCTCTGTTTTAGTTCAGGGGGCCCAGTCTACATACAAACATATTTTTGTCCAATAAACACCTTTTGAGTGAATCTGTGACGTGTTAGGTGTTGAGCCATGAAGACACCGCATCTGCTCCGAGGGCTCACAGCAGAGCAGCGCTGGTGGACCATCCCAGCACTGTCAGCCAGAGCCCTCCCCACTCAGCCTTGCCAGGAACCATGCAGGCACTTGGCATTCAAAGAAGAGCTGGGTGGGTCTAACTGTGTGCTCCTACTCCTAGCCTCCACACTTTCAGGGGCTTCCCCGGGAGATTGCCAACAGTGAACAGGCTCCACTTCACCTCCAGTTTCCCAGGCTGTACACTGGATTTCGACAAAGCTGATCAGATCTCAAATGTAGTTCATTATAATGGAATTTTACCTGGGGCAGCCTATCCTCCACTTCTTAACATCATGGCACCTGAGATGTGGGTGTACATGCCAAACAGGCCAGGCAGAGGCAACTTCCCACCTCTGGCAGAAGTCCGGAAATTCAGAGCAGTTTGGAACAAAGAACTCTGCCCTGAAGGTATTTTCCAGAATCTACCCGGCCAGCTTGGAACTGCCCTGTTCACCCTGGGCAAAAGCTACCTGCTGCTTCTCCTCCAGCCCTGCTCAGACCACAGGGGAGGGGAGGCAAAGCCGAGGAACTGGGATACTACAGGAAAAGGAAGTGGACAAGGAAGGGGGCTTCCACGCTAGCCTGAAAAAAACCTGAATTGAAGTTCTGGGTCTGACTCAGACTGTTGATGATCTGGGCACTTCTTAACTTCTCTGAATTTCAGTTTCCTCTTCCTAAAACAGAAATAAGGTTACCTACTTCATAGGATTTTTGAAAGGTATAAATGAGAAAATGCATGGAAAGTACTTCATATAGCACTGGAACACAGTATGTTATAAACACATTGATAAACACAATTTTCAGCCATTATATAATGTGGCAACCTAATAGAGGTCAAAGGTTGTTGTAGAAAGAGACAGACATGGGGTGGAGTTGGGGGAGGTGGTGAAGGCAGGACAGGCAGGGCACTGCACAGGCCTGATAGCCCAAGTCAGGCACAAGGCAGAGGCACTCACCTGCCTCTGGAGCTGACAGGCACAGACTGGCTGGGTAATTACAGAGCTAAGGGCTGGGGTGGCCCATGCAACTGCCTGGCCAGCCACATTCTTTTGTCTTGAGGGCAGCTGAGTGGGTGGGCAGCTGGCTGTTTATGTGGCTAGCAGGATTCTGGGTGCATCCAGCAAGTCTTTTCTCCAGCACTCTCAGGCAGGGTATTCAGCCTTGAGAGGGAAAGGGATTCTTTGCAGGCATTCTGCATGGTACCTCCTCTGTCTCTTCATCTCTCTCTACTGGCTCCCTGGTTCTCAAATATGACAAGTCTAAAGGCTAGACTCTCAACAATTGGCAGTGGAGACCAGCAAACTTCAACCAACCTTAAAATAATCAAGAACCCCTGAAGAGCTATGAATCCCATCTAGCCCCAACTCCATCTGCTTTGATTAGCTAGCACATCTGTGGTTTTGATACTTTTTATCCTTTCCTCAGAATTGGTTGGGAGGATGTCTCTCCCAATCCACTGGACAGAAATGTAATTCAGTTAATCAGAAAACTAGTATGTGCTCAGTGCAGACACCAGGCTCTTGGCTGAACTGTAGAGAGCACCAAGCCATGGGGAAGATATAAAACCACTGGAACCCTCAGGCACTGCTGGGAGAAGCTCAGATAGGTGGGGCTTCAGCTGCACCCAGGGGTCCTGTATAGAAGTCTCAGAGTCAGGCTGCTGCATCACAGGATCACCTATGCACCTATGTGCATGAGACAGGTACATTTTAAGCCAGACGCCAGATCCCTGGATCATGGGCAATACCTTCACAGCTTCAAATGGCAATAGAAACTCATCTAATACTTTTTCATTTTAGAAATGAAATCCATATCCAGTTGCAAAGGATGGGGAAGGATGGAACTGTTCATCCACTGCTGAAAGCTGTGCTTGTTGGTATGACCACTGTGAGAAACAGTTTGGCACTGTATAACAATATTAAACATGGAACTCCATGTGAGCCAGTAATTCTACTCCCAGATGTGTGCCGTGGACTCTTCCATGTGCATCAGGAGTCAAGCATGCTGTGTTCCTAGCAGCACTATCACACTGTAGTAGTCCCAAACTGGAGAGAGTGCATGTGTAGTTTGATATTTTTACAGCAGAATACTACACAGCTGTGTAAATTAATGAACTGTAGATGGACGTCAATATGAAAGAATCTCAGAACATGGTACTGAGTGAAAGAAGTGATTGCAGAGAGTACATGTGTGTCAACTTCAAAGCTAGGTAGAACAAAACAATGTGTTGTTTTGTAAACCATATACAAATGATAATTTACAAAAAAGGCAAGGAAATAACTAATATCCACCTTGGAGTGGGGAGGCATATAAATGAGGTGTAGGGGGGCATATAGATGGGCAGGGGCAGAGGAGTTTTTAAGATACTGTAAATCCTCCATTCCTAACATAAGTGATGAGTGCATTATATAATATTATTCTTTAATTGCTATGTTAGCATATTGTATACTCTTTGTGTATGATACATTTATTTACAGTTTTAAAAAGTAACAGATGAAAAATCTTGAAGACTAGAAGTCCCAGAGAAGTTCAGGAACTTTCCTGAGCTCATTGTCTAAAAATGGAAAAAAGAGAAATCAATTTCCCCAATCTGAATTTAGTCAGGTGCTGGGATAGCCATTTCTGAGTTCTCATGGGGTCTCTAACAAGCAGGTTTCTGGGTGAATCAATGCAAAAATAATTGCAAAACTCTTTTTTCCCACTGTTAAATTTCAAATGTCTCGAAGAATGCAGGGCACATGGTAGATCTTCAGCCCACATCTGCTGATCGCATGTCTGTCTGCCTGGGCCTTTCAGGGGTTCACTGTAGCGAGCTCTTGATTTACCACGTTAACTCTCACACAGTGCAATGAGGGAGTGACTGGGGTAATCCCCAATTTGCAGATAAGGAAATTGAGATTCACTGAGATTAAGAACCTTGCCCAAGGTCACTGACTAGAAAAAAATGAAACAAACATTTGAACCTAAAAGTCTAACTCTGTTTCTCCTGTTCTTCCAGGCTGCTGGCAGAGCTTCTAACAATGCCAACTAAACTTTTCTCCTTGTACTCACTGGAGACAATCATAGCACCTACCTTCAAGAAAAGCTGCGCAGATTAAAGGAGACAGCAGATGGGCAGAAGGCTGTTAGAGGAGGCCAGAGTCCATTTCTCCTTCCCAGTGGGCTAAGTCCAGCAGTCTTTAAGGGGCAGCATCCATGGGAGGAAAGATAGACAAGGTGAGAATAGCTCCCCACTGGCCAGTGAGACAATGGCCTAATTTTTTTTACATCATAACACAGTAAGTTATCAATCAAGTGACTGTTTAAAATTGAGAGTGTTTCTTTTTTGCCTTCCAGATATTCAAATCTTACTTGATTCCACACAATCTTTCTGCACAATATTATGTCTCTCAAGTTCCTTAATTAATTAATTTATTTATTTATTGCAATTTTGAACCTGAATAATATATGTAAGACTGCTAGAGAGCCAACATGGTTGAAAGGTGCTGGCAGACGGAGCCTTCAGAGATGCCACCAGTCCCCAGACCTTCGGGCAAACTGAGCTTGCTTTCAGGTCAACTTGTTCAAACTAGTTAGTCAATCCAACCTTGTTGGTCACAAATGCTTACTGCAGGCTTAACACATAAGACATTGCCCTAAGTGCCCTGTGGCTGTGCCATGAGTAAAGAGGTGACAGGGTTCTGTGGAGACTGAAGAGCAGGGACTCTGCCTGGGAGGCTGAAGCAAGAGGATTGCAAGGTCAAGGCCAGCCTGGGCATCTTACTGAGACCTCGTCTCAAAAGTAAATCAATTAAATAACTAACTGGGGATGTAGCTCAGTGCTCTTTGGGTTCAATCCCCAGTGCTGGAAAAAAAAAAATAAAATGAGTGAGAAAGATCTCATGGATTTTGACATCCTGTACACCTGGGTGCAAGTTCTGACTCTTCCTCAGGGTCTCACCTTGGCATGTGGCTTAACCTCACTGAGCCTCAGTTTCCCCATTTATAAGATGAACAGAATAGTGGTTCCTGTCTCACAAGGTAGTGAGAGGCCCAGGAGACAGTAATGTGTGTAGCATGGCAACCAGAACCAAGTGAGTGTTGAGCTTCAGTTCCTGAAGCTCTAATGCTGGTGCCAGCAGGCAACACACACAAAGCCAGCGCCTCCTGGGCGCTCTGGTGCCTGGAATATGAGGAATTACAAAACATCTCAGAACTTCAACTTGTCATCTGCAGGCCAGTGAGAGGCAGCCGCTTCCCAGGAACCAGGTGCTTGTCCTGCCCAGACTCCACTTTCCCGCTGGTATAGCTACCCACACCCTGTGCAGGACCAGGACTCTCCCCTGTGCAGAATGAGGACTTTGTGTGGCATCTGGTTCTGGGAACACTGCATAGTCTATTCCTTGGCACGAGACTTGCAGGGCAAGTTTGTAAATGCATGACACACACTCAGACTCACAGAGCTCCTAGTGCTTCTGCCTCTCCCTTTTATCCACCAGCCACTCCTACCCATCTCCAGCCTGCCCAGGGAGTCTTGCCACCTCACCATCCCTATAAGGTGTTTGAAAGGTGGGATTTCCCAAGAAGCCTTCACTTGCTCTCTCATTTGTCTTGATGAAAACAACTTCCTTCCTGAAGAGTAGAGGAGTCACTACATAGTCATAAGGGAGACTCCACTTCCCTGGTGTCCCACGCCCTACTCACACTGGACCTCTGGGGACTGTCCAAGGAGTCTACCTGAGCATCTGATGGACTACAAGGCCCGGACTCGGAAGGGGCAGTTTCTCTTCCACATATCACCACCGCAGGATGCTGTTGCTGCCACCAACGCTTCTAGCTTGGATTGAGCAAGAACTGTCTGTCCCCACCCTGGACCATTTCCCCAACAGCCAGACCACACCAGAGAAACAAATTCTAGTGTCGCAGAGGACAGACTCTGTGTCGTCCTAAGCAGCTTTTCTCCGGCTCTGGTCTCCACGTTGGCTGCTGTTTCCCTGGATCTTTTTGTTTGTTCGTTTTTGTTTTTTGAGACAGGGTCTCACTATGTAGCCCAGGCTGGCCTCGAACGCACTGTGGTCTTCCTGCCTCAGCCTCCTTGTGCTGGGATTATAGATGTGCACCATCACACTCAGCTTTTCTAGCTCTTGATTACAAACGACCTATGCCCTTTATCTACATGGGCAAAGTTTGACTACATTTCTCCTTCTGGTGTTTACCTACTTTAGAGTCAGAGTTTCCCATGGGAGGTATGGAGGTCTGGGAACCCAAACAGACAAATGAAGAGGGAGCAGGTGGAGGGAAGAGAGAAGAGGAAGCATGAGTATGAGTCTTGGTATGCCTGTGAATCCCAGGTCCCCTGGTGGAAGCTGAAGAAGAGTTGGCAGGCCTTCCTGTCCCAGTCTGAGGCAGGGGTGGGGCAGGAAAATCAAAGGTGAGGCCAGTTACAAGTCAAGGGTGAAGGGAAGTCACACATGAGTAGGCCAGGTCCCAGGACAAAGTGGCTGGGAGAGATGCTACCCTCCGGGAAACGAACGGATGATAATCCCAGGGAACAGGTCAGAATGCTGGGACTGCTCTTAGAACATAGTTACCCCCATTTCCCCTTCACATTTAGCCTCCCCCTGCAACACAGTGAACCATTACCGTGTCTGACTACTGCTGCTTCGGAGTGGTGTTCACTCTGATTAAATGTTCCAGTTTGCCCTGAACAACTTTGGTTTATGCCCACTGTCTTGGCATAACCTCCCTGTCCTGGCAGAGCCTCCCTGTTTACTCTCAAGAGAATCTGTGTGAATGATATATCATAAGTCATTCTAGAGTATTGAGCAGGAGATTGACACAGGAAACATTAAAGAGAAAACAGAGAGAAGCATAATTAGAAGTGAGGCCATGCTGATTAGGAATAACAGCCAGGCTGGGTTCAGCCTAGCTGAGTCTTCTTGTGTGGACAGTGGTACAGAGAAAGCCTGGCAGCTGCTGGCCCTCCTGAGGCTCCACATTTTAGAAGCAAAGGCCTGGTTTGCTGGAATTTGCATCGTGATACCCTTCAGAGAGCCTAGCATTATGCTGGGCACACAAGAGTCTCTTAAGCAATCTGGTCATTTCCTTATTTCTCTCTACTTGCATCTCAAATGGACTTGAGGCAGTGACAAGTGAAAGCTGCTGCCCTATAAACCTCTACCCACCCACACACCTAGTTGTCATCTAGGTGCTCCTGTTCATGCAGGCACAAGACCTCCACTACTGTACAGGCAGCAGCAGGTGTCTAGCAGAGGTCCAAAGGCTGACCTTGATCACTGTCTCCATTGGATGTGGAACGCCCCTCCTGTCTTGAGTCACCACTTGATCTAGGCAACCAGGACTCAAGCCTTCCACCATTGACGGTCTGGGCTTTGCACACCTGTTATCTCTTCTGGAACAAGAGGGTAGGAGCCTAGGAAATCTATTGGAGCTCTGGAAGCTCCTTTGAGACTCTGTCTCCAAAAGAGATCAGTTAGGAAACCAAATAAGGGAAAGAAATTGAGAAACTGTAAACACAAATAACCATGCCACCCCTAATAGCACCCCGACTTTCCATAATACAAAATCTGATAGGGTTGGCTGAAGAGGAGCAAGGGGGTCAGGAAACCTTCCTACTCTCTTCCTTTCCCTCCTTTCTTACTCTATTTTCTGGGCCTTCCTTCTTGGTAAAGTATCAGATCATAGCTGCTAAGGACCACCCAAACCCACAACTATAGGACCCTGGCAGAGAACAGACTGTGAATCCTTCAACTTCTTGCAATCTGAGTCAACTCCACAGTCAAGTCGGCCTCCTTGGATTCTCAAACAAATCCAGAGAGGCACGTGTGCTGGATTACTCATTTTGTTTATGGATCTCTAGAATGCAAAGGAAAACCCAGAAAGAAATTTTCACTCTTACCACCTCCTGATCTGGCTGCATGCCAATCCTGAAACAGTATCAGAGAGACCCATGATTTTCTTCAGTCCCTGAACAGGGAAGGGATGGGTGAAGGTCCCTCAACATACAACACTTTCGGTTTATGTTACAGACAACCCATTCCCACCTCAGCAAAGTTCCCCAATTCTGCGGTCTGGGGTAAAGCATTCTCTTCATTTTCTGGCCCCAGAATCTTTCCAATTTCTTCTCCATGCTCAACAAACTAGTAAAGAAGGACACCTAATGAGATCACTGGATGGAAATAGGATGAGGGAAGGGGAAAGTCTGCAATACCAAGATGCACCTCTCAGTCTGAAAAAGGGATAAAAGAAGTGTATTTACCACAAAGCCACAACTCCCTTTACACTTAACCTCCTTCTGGAATCACCCTATAGCATTATTCCAATCATCCCAATATTCATTACTCTGGGTCTGAACCCCTGCCTCTAACCCCCAGCACTGAGGAAGAACACCTTTCAGAAGGGAACTGCAGCAGAGCTGAACTCTGCCCAGAACAACTTGTGCAGCGCTCAGAAAATGCCTGCCCAACTGCTTGCCTGGGCTCTGGCCCCTCTGGCTGTAACTGAGCCCAGACAGGAGGCTGGCTGACTCACTCACCGCACAGAAGAGAAAGGGGAGGAGGAGGAGGAGGAAGAGGAGGAGGAGGAGGGAGAATGGTCTAGTGTCAGAGATCCAAGGTTTTCCCAGCACAAACCAACTGGTTCCCAGCCTCTGGTCTATGAGATGGGGTGCAGCCGTCCAGTAGCCTGGAAACCACCCTCAATTCTCACCTAGATAGTAATTCTGAATGCTCATCTACCACCCACAGACTCAGGACCTCTTCCTCTCCTAATGGAAGCTATTCCCTAAGCCCCGTCTTCAATTACATGCTTGCCCCTGAGTTCCTTTGGACATCTTATAGCAAGAACTTCTGAAAAAATAAATCCGGTGACTAGAACCAATCAGGTGTCAAATCATTGGAGGTCCGCAATTACAAGTGACCATATGAAGCGCCTAGAAGATGATAAACAAGGCTACATACGCTCCACCTCCAGAAGACCTTGGCACCCTCGACAGTCAATGGCTCCTTTTCTTACTCCTCCACTCCAATCCACGGCGCTGGACAGAGAAAGGAAACGAATGCTTCTTCTGCTGCCCAAGTGCTGAGCACAGTGCTAGCGGAACTCTTGCTCCTTGATCTCTCCTCACCAGCCTAGCGCCAACTTTAGCTTTCCCAGACCGCGGTGCCTCCTCAGTGTCCCAACCTCATGGTACGACAGCCGGACTCTCAGCCAACAAGTTTGCTCCCAAGACTTAGATTCCCGTGCTTGCCCTCGGACAATCACATCTCGGGACCCCCGACGCCCTTACCCCGGGCTAGTCCCTGTCCTACGGTCTGCTTGCCCACTGCTCCCGGGTCCGCACCTGGTCCGGTGGGTGAACACGCTGCTTGGCGCTCCCCGCGCCTCTGGCAGAGCTGCTGCTTTTTGACAAGCAGGGACAGCCCAGCACCTGGCCCCGCCCACCCCGCCCCGCGCCCGCCCTTCCCGATGGCCACGCCCACAGGCCGGTCCTCTCCTGCGGAGCTTTGCACCGGCGCCGCAACCATCTTGACTCGGGACCAACCACTGCGCTGTGTCCCTCGAGACAGATTTGTGAAACTTCCCACTGCTGCCGACCGCAGGGCAAGGCGTGCGTCCTCCCCCGGGGCGCTCAGGTTGCGATGACTTCTTGTGTGCAGAGCGAGGCTTCTGCCTGCCACGACCCGTGATCGGCGTGGCCTCCCCTCCTCCCCCGCAGCCGTGGTTCTACCCAGCCTGCGGAGACGCCTTTGCCGGGTGTTTCGCCCCTACCTGGGCCGCGGCCTGGCCTCCAGCAAGTGTGGCGCTGCAGGGGGTCCGCTGGCCCGGGCGGTCAGGTCCGCGCTCGTGGGAGTCCCGGGTGTCGCTCGCGACGTGTTATGCAGAACGCCAGGGAGCTAGGTCCGTGCCCACGAGTAAGATAAAGGCGCGCGCGGAGCAGAATGGAGCCTGGAGTTGCTGCGTGGCTCCCAACCGACGTGCCCTGGCCCATCGTGACTCTCAATCAAGTGGACTTGACTTCCGAGATCCCTGGTCCCCAGTTCCTCCTCCCCGCCATGACTTTGGTGTAAGGGGAGATCAAAAGTGTGTCCTGAGATGTGGAATTGAGGACTGCTGCGTAAAATTCGCTATAGAAAAATCGGCTAAAAATGACTATTCTGCTTGCCTGTATACACAATAGGTGCTAGAAGAGAGTACAGAAGACAGCATTCCCTCTTTCTTTGAGTTCACTGTCCAGTGGGAGAATGTTCCAGAGTAAAGATGTGCACAAGGTCATTCCGCATTTGGTGACCTTCAGGCAGTGAAAATTTGCATTTGCATTTAACTGAGTAGCTGTGGTTTGAAGGGGCCAGGCTGAACAGGTGAGAAACTGAGGCATAGAGAGATTAAGAGATATGGCCAGCATGACCCAACCATTCCATGAAGATGGTGAGTGCCAAATCTCGGCAAGTTCCCTGGTCCAGGGACTATTCTGAGACAGCTGTGGCAGGCTGTATGGTAACCGGCCTTCCTCAACTCAGTTGATAGAGCCTGAGAAAAGCACTGAGACTAAACAGAAGGAGGAAACGTCGAACAGTCAGGTTCTGAAGTGAAGCACTGAAGCAGGCGGTTAAGAGGATATCTGGGCAGTTTTCTCCCGGAGAAGCCTTACAAAAACAAAAAACAGAAAAGACACACATTGAGCTTGGGAAGGGACCATCTATCCTGAGAAACAAATAAGTACAAGTGCCCTTTGCAGGCCCTGCCAGTCTAGTCTGATGGATGGAGTCTGTGTTGTAAGGAGAGTAAGAAAATGAATCCCTTGCCAAAAGCCATGAGTGATTTTCATGGTGTGAAATTTAAGAGGAAATTTCTAATAACCAACTCCTTGGGATGTTCTCAGGAAGTCTCATGAGCCTCTGGAACTGGTTGATTAAACTCAGAACTCACTTTTGTGTTGCTTAATTGGCCTGGCATCTTGTGTAAGATACACCTTCATCATAGAAGACAAATATAAGATTCTTTTCTTCATAGCTGTTAGCTGTAACAATGAAACTAGTAATTGTTATGTACACAAAGTTTTCAAGTATAAAAAGAAATCTTTGGAATATCTTGTTCAGTCTTCATCCTAAGCTTTTTTGTTGTTGTCTTTTTGAGGCTGGGTCTCGGTATGCAGTTCAGGCTGGCCTTGAGCTCACTTTATGTAGTCGATGCTGGTCTCGAACTTGCAATGGGCCTCCTGCCTCAACCTGCTGGGATTACAGGCCACCACACCCAGCTTCATCCTAAACTTTTGAGACAAGCAGGGTAGAAAATACTTTCCCCACTGTATAATGGATGTCCAGAACTGTCATCAGTTTTATAGCTGGAGAATGACAGAGCTGCTTGAACCTAGGTTTTCTCCCTGAACATCCTGGCTATTCCATGCTGCCTTAAAAAGTTCTTCTTCCATGTACTTTTCACCTGTTGGATTACACTCTAGATATACCAGCCTTGGAGAACCCAGAGGTTCCAGCTTTGGCAAGTTTATAAGATTGAATGTATCATGACTGTGATCAACACATCCTGTCCTAGCTCCCTCACTATGTCCTAGCCATATTCTTCTCATCTTTTTCTACCTAAATTGCTATCTTTTCTCTTGTCTCTCTTGATCTTTACTTACTTCAGGTCTTGTCTGTCTCATCAAATCTTTCCCAGCATCTTCAAGCCAAAATAACCCATCATTTTGATCTTTAGAGTACGTATTACTACAGTGCATGGTTGATTACCTGATAGCAAACCACCTTGTGTTTATCTTGATAGACTTTTTTTCCACCTTGACTTTATCCTTAGGAGGGAGATTACTTTGTAAAACAAAAAATGAAATTGCGTGCGATTCAATTCCTCCTCTGTTCTGCTATACTCACTGAATGTTTCCTGATTCTTACTAGCCAGGTACTAGCCAGGTACTACCTATCCATTCTCTCTTCTTTCCACACCTTCATGACAGGCAGCATTCCTAAGCTTTAACTACCTCTCGATAGACTGCTCTGTGAACTAGGCACTACATCTGTGGAAAAGTGAGTTTTCTTTCTTTTCCTAAAGTTAATGTTTCCAGCCTCACTTGTCCCTGGGCAGTAGTGGTCATTTGGGGATGTTCAGATTGGTTTGTGGTAGCACTCATCTCTGATCTGTTGCATCAGGGTGCACCTATTAAGTGCTTGCTTTCTATATACAAGGCACTGCCTTGTAGTGTTATTGACTCAATGATAAGAAATTAAAGGGTCCTGCTAGGAACATCCTATCTGAAAGGAAAGCTTACAGGTGCCAATTTTAGGCCATGCCTTTGCACTTTGTATCACATAATTGGGGTGGGGATCAGAGCCCAGTTTCTTGGCCTCTGCCTAGTTCTGTGTGCCTGTAAGTGGCTGGGGCAGGTGTGGCTGCATTTGTACAATAGGCTGTAGCCTATCTCAGCCCATGAACCTCCCTTTTCTGCAGCCTGGCAATTTTCTGCCCAGCTGGCTGACATGCTTTGAACCCCTCACCATGGTGCCCGAGCTGGAGGGAATTTCTTTGTCCTTTGGAGGTTCCCAGAGTCCCTGTCCCTGTGGGTAGGTTCAAGCTATCCAGAGGCTGCTCTCCATGTGAAAGTGTGCCCTTTGAGCTTTTTGTGGAACACTCCCAGCCTACTGTTTGCTTTCCTTTCTTAGGACCTTTTCCCCTTTAAATATTTTATGATTATAGGTCTAGGAATATTGAAGGAAAGGCTTTCATTCAACAAACGCCCAAAGAACATTCTAAGAGACAGAGTTGTACACTCATAGAGAAGGAAGGGGCCAAGACATCTTTTCACACTTAGTTCCCCTGTTTTAGATACTTTTTAAAGAAAGATTAAACTCACAAAGATTAGCTCATTTATTCTTAGGACAAAAAGGGCCTAGGACTATTCTTTTTTTATATTCTAGATCGCGGAAGTGGAATGAATGGAAGACACAGTAAAAAAGGAAAAAAGTCAAACAAAAGAATCTTCCTAGGATAGTGTTTTTCAGATTCTTAACTGTAGCCCACAGTAAAATATGGATTTTTTTTAAACCAGTCAAATTTAGCAGTGGGGGGGGGGTGGTATACCAACTTTAGTGACACTAATGTTAATACGTTCTGATAACCCACTGCTATCGGACCAGCCTAAAATAAGAATTTTTACCATGACATAGTATACTCATGAAAATAGATGAGTTTTAACAAACAAGATATACCCTGTAATATTTTATATTATTTTCTCTATTATCTCTCCCTCTCTTCATTCCTCATTTCTTCCTCTCTCTCTCCTTTATTTTGGGGTCTACAACATTGATTTCTTGGTTATGACTATGTTTTAAAAATCTTTCCCTTGGTCATACTGAATAGATTGTTCAAGCAACCAATGGAAAGAAGGTTCCATCCTAGACTTTGATTCCAAATAACATGAGCAGGTTGTTCTCAGCATGGTGTCCTCTTGTCCTCTTACTTAGAACCTACAAAATAAGAGTCCCAGAAAGGCATTTCAGAGCCCAGAATGACTTACAAGGGGCCCCTTCAGGATTCCATAGTGGCTCCATGCTGGCTCCAGGGCTTTGGCGGATTCTACCTCCAAAATCACATGGTTAGGGTGAGGTTACCAAGATAGCCTGTGTCACCCAATATCTGATTTTAACCCAATGTTTAACCTTAACTCAGCACTTGCATTTTCCATCTTTGGGAGGCTCTTTTGCCTCGGCAAGCCTTATGATGTTTCAGAAGTCCTGACCTCTCCAGAACAGAGCTGCCCTGGGGCGTCAGTCATCTACCATGCCATGGGAAGTGAGCGATTGCAAATTCAGCCTGCTCTAGACAGAACTGTGCACTGCCAGGTATTTGCTACTAATCCATTTGACCCCAGGGTTCCATTCTCAGTAGCCCAGCTCATGTCTCCATCCTCAGGGCCTTGATGCTTGTCTTTCTCACCTGCTCCCACATTCTCAAGCCCCAGGTTGCCAGCCTGCTGCCCACACACAGCGTCTGCTGGCAGGATAATGCAGAGCCTGGGGGCCAGAGGAAGGAAGGAGCAGACTACCACCTGCACCTCCAAGCAGAGGCAGCTCAGAGCTCTCCCAGGCATTTGCTGGGCTCCTGTCCGAACTCTAGCAGATGGTGATGACTCTCCGCCAAGCCTTAAGCCTGTCCATTGAGGCTAGTGGGCTGTGAGTGTACAGGGCTCTTTTCCCCTTACAGCTAATCTATGACTGTGGGTTCTGCAGTGACCATGATAACTGACGG